AAGCGAAATTAGTTAAAAATTCTAAAAAAATTTTATTCATATTCAAAATTATAAATTACGGGATTATGATGCAAAAATAAAAGCATTTCTGCATTTTCTTGAAGAAGACTCTTCCTTAGATTGTTTATTATTAATCCTGCACTACTAAACAACCTTTCTGCTTCAGCTGATGTACAAGGTGCTGATAGAAAGCGTTTTGCAATTTTGGATAAAATTGGCCATTTAACTGTATTTTCACCTGTCCAAAATCCATAAGGATCACATTCAATCGGAATCTTTTTTGCACGCAAATATTCTGTCACCTCAACCTTAAATATTGATTTAAAACAATAAGCAGTTTAAAGAAACCTCAGCTTTTTGGTGTGCGTTTAATGATTTTTTGCTAGGAAGTTCAAGTGCAATTGGTTCAATATCATTTTGCTTTGAAATGGTTTTTTTGAAATGGCTACTCTTCCAGAAAGTGAGAAATACTTCCATATTAAAGACATTATAATTTAAAAAAATTTCTAAAAAATAAAGAAATACAAAATGAAAAATGCGAAACAAATTTCGCATTTGGACCAAAATGCGAAATGCGAAAGCAAAGCCCAGCCCTGTTGCCTATCCTTGACTTTTTCTTCCCTTTCAAATTTTTTCTTATTTTTAAAGAAACAATGCCTAATTTACGCAAACTTCATGTAATTACTGGGTATGGAAGTACAAGTGGCCATCTTTCTGTTATACGTCAAAAACTTCAAAAATTTTTATCAAATAATGGAATTGAGTAAATTAATTTTTAAATTAATGACTAAGAAAAATTTTTTTTATAAAATTTTTTTAGTTTTTGTATTTCACCTCAAAACCAAGGAGTGGTGGAAATTCGTCTACAAGGAATTCGGCAACGGTTGAGTGGGGTGGATTGAACTTGTTTTAGATTTCCTTTTTTTCGTTTAAAAATACAGTCGAACCTCACTATAAGATACAACCCTAGGGTCAGAAAAAATCGTTCCTTGGAATTATAAGCATCTAAGGTAGGAGGGGTCTTTTAGGGCTTACAGAATGACACAACAAGTATCATCATTGTTAGTGTCAGAAAAAAAACAAGAATAATGAAGGACAGTCGGCAACGGTCTAGCACAAGTGCCGGACCAAGTCCGAACATTAATGATAATTACTAGAGACGTCCAAGACCGAAAATTTTCTATGACCAAGACTTAAAAACCCAAGAAAAGTCTTGGAATCAAGACTTAAGACCAAACTTCTTGGAAGTCTCTAATAATTACTAGAACAGTATTGAATTGTGTCTTAAATAGAGGGTATAGTTAACTTATTCGCCCTAATTTTGAAAAAGGGTAGTATTATTGAATATAAATTATAGTGAGGTTCGAACTATTTAAATTTATTATCGTATACTCTACTAATTCTTATATTCTTTTTTGCATAACTCATTGTATTTATTTTTTATCCTCACACATATTTTATCCACTCACTTATTATTTAAACGGAGTATATTCTATGTATTAATTAGAGTTGGAACTCAGGACAAGAGCAGGGTTTTGGGTATTTCGAATAGGTCTGATTTTTTCGGAGGTTTAACGTGGAAAATCCAGCCTGCTGAGTTTAAAAAGAAAAAATTCGAATACCAAGAGTTCAACCTCTATGTATAATATTGATATTCAATTTACTAAATTTTACCATTATATGTCAACTCTCTCTCGATATATCTGTTTCCACTTTATGTTATAAAATCTTTTGTAAAAATTTTATCAAGAATTGACTTTTAATCTTTTTTTACTCAAAAAATATAAATAGGTACTTTTCGGTTTAAGAAAATATTTTTATTTTCTTTTAAAAGATTTCTGTGTAAAATAAATTTTTGGAAAAATATTTACAAACTTTTTTACTAGAATATTAACCAAAAAGTACCTATAAATTTAAATCAAAATTAAATTTATTTTTAAATTTTTTAAATAAAATTTATACTCCCAATTTTGCTCTTAAAATAAAAAAATGTAGGAAAATAAATTTAAAGAAATAAAATTTGAAAAAATTAAAATTTTTGAAATTTTTTAAAAAATTTCTTGGGATGGAAAAGAAGATAAATTAAAAAAATTTTTTTTCAGAAAAAATTTTTTAATTTTTCAAAAAAAAAATAAAAATTATTTCTTTCAGTTTTTCCTACCTCAATTCAATTTGTGGTCACCGCCTAGTACCTGTTGAATTAGGAAATAAATATACAGACGAAGATTGGGAACAAAAAATAATTAAATTTAATGAATATTTAATTAAATATATTTTCCTCCCACAAAAACAAAAAGAAGAGAAAAATTTAAAAATTGGTTATTTAGCCCAGCACAGATTATTAGACCAAATACCAGAATTAATTAATGATTTAATTATACCAGAATATTGTTCTTTTGGGGAGGAAGAAAAATCAGAATTTACAATTAATGTTTTTATTGGGCCTGAAGAGACTGGTAAAGTTTAAATAAATAAATCAGAATTAATAAATAAACTTGGAATCAGAATTAATTGAAATTAGAATTAATAAATAAATTTGAAATCAGAACAAATAAAACTTGAAATCAGAATAAATAAATAAATTTGAAATCAGAACAAATAAAGCTTGAAATCAGAATTTTAATTAAAACTTGATGAATATTAAAATAAACCTAGAACCAGAAAATAAACTTTAAGTCAGAATGAAAATAAAATTAATAAAACTTGGAAATAACTCTCAAAATCAGAATTTAACAAACATTCTAAAACTTGAAACAAGAATTATATCAGGTTGTAATATTAGAATTTTAATTATTTTATATTGGAATTTCTGATTTCAAGTTTATTTTAATATTTATGTAATAAGTTTTAAAGAAATAATTTAAATCAGAATAAATAAACTTGAAATCAGAATTATTAAATAAAATCGAAAATCAGAATTAATTTTAAAAAATCAGAATTTTAATCAGAATTAATTTTTAAAAATCAGAATTTAAATCAGAATTAATTTTTAAAAATCAGAATTTAAATCAGAATTAATTTTTAAAAATCAGAATTTTAATCAGAATTAATTTTAAAAAATCAGAATTTTAATCAGAATTAATTTAAAAAATTCAGAATTAATATCAGAATTAATTTTTAAAAAATCAGAATTTCTTTAATAATTTCTTTTCAAGTCTCTCCACTCCACACCGATCCTCGTCATAACATGTTCTGTCAAATACGGGGTTCCAAGTTTGTCCGTCTTAATGACCCAAAAGAACGTGAAAATCTCTATCTTTATGACGATTTAATGAGACAAAATAGCAGTCAAGTCAGAAAAAATTCTTTGTGAATTTTTTCAAAATTTATTTTAGGTAGATGTTGAAAATCCAGATTTAATTAAATTTCCACTCTTTTCTAAAGTAAAATGTTATGATAGTGTAGTGGAGGAAGGGCAATGTTTGTTTATACCAAAGGGCTGGTTTCATCATGTTCGGGGTAAATTTAAATATTTCAGAATTTATAAAAATAAAACTTGAAATCAGAATTTTTATAAAACAAAAAAATCAGAATTAATTAAATTCTGAAAAAAATTAAACTTGAAACAAAAATCAGAATTTTAATTTTTGCAGCATTAGAGCCCAGCGTTTCTGCTTCAATTTGGTTTGGATAGATACACTTTGAACATTAATTTATTAAAAAAATTTTTGATTGAAATATTTTTAATTTGCAATTTATTTTTGATTTTTTTTTTGAATTTTCAATTAAAACCTACATATAAGGCAGTTGCTTATGAGACAAATTCAACAGGAATTTTTTTTAACTAAAAAGTATTTTCTCAAACCAAAAATTATCTACATATTTATAATTTTAATAAATAATATTTTTTGAGTAGAGAAAAAAGAAAAGATTATTAAAAGTCAATTTTTGATAACTTTTACAAAATTTTATATCATAAAATGAAAATATATCAAGGGATTCGAATCAGCTCTTTCGAATGAGCTAACATTTATATAATCGTATTTTTTACCCCAAAAATAGCTTACCCCCCTGGTTTTTCAATGTTCAATCGCCTGTATCTCTGCGAGTTTTCATCTCCCATAGCAATTCTTACATAATTGTATATATTTTTAGTTACGATCTCGATGGACCTATACTACCTACTTGATTATAGAGTACCCGTCACTAAGAATCTTTTGGAGAGGGTTGGGATAAATACTTAGAACATTGATTTAAATATTTTTTTATTTACAATTTTTTTAATTTAAAATTATATACAAAATAAAATTCTGATTTTATTTTCCATTCCTTCTTCTCTTAAATTTTATATTTAACAAATTCAACAGCCCTTTTCCAATTCATTCCATGTAAATCTATAAAACAATCATTTGGACAATTCCAAGCATTTAAACGGTCATTTTGGTAGGTTAAACGTAATTGTTCTTGACGGAGAGTTCCCGCCTGTAAATTGAAAGGAAATTTTTGGAATCGTTTTAAAGGTTTTGAATTTAGAAAAATTAAAAAATTCAATTAAATAATCTCGAAGAAACATTAACACTGAAAAAGAGAGGGGAGGGGGGTCGCGGGTTCGAACCCGCTTAGGGCCCTTTATTTTTAAAATTATTCAAAAATTATTTTAAATTTTTTAAAATTATTTTTAAGTGTTTTTAAGCCCAATAGATTTTAATTTTGGAAAAAAATAATTTTGAGATCAATTATTGAAGGTTAGAGGGTCACGGGTTCGAGTCCGCCCAGGGCCTTTTAATTTTTTATATGTCACTCTGGCGGAGAGTTCCGGCCTTTAAATTTAAAAATACTTATTTCTGTTAATTTTTAAATGTTTAGGACCTCATAACTCATTATTTTCAAACAAAAAATTAAGTTTCCAATAAAATTAATTTAAAAAACCTTCTCCATTCTCAGTTCCGCCACTTAAAGTTGAAGAGCTAACGGTATTAACATTTTCTTCACCATTTTATAAGGAATAAATAAATTTGGATTTTTTGGAGGGACAATTATATTAATTGAATTTTGTTGTTCTTCCAATTGTTCTTCTGTTGAAATTAAATCCAATTTTGCATCAAAACTTTCAGAAATATTTAATAAACAATTTGCAGTTAATTCAAAATTATAACTAGGGAAAAATTAAAGAATATTCTGATTTTAATAAAATAAACTTGAAAGTTTAAGTTTATTTTTCCAGTTTAAGTTTTATTTTTTAAGTTTATTTTTCCAAGTTTATTTAAATAAAAATTCTGATTTCGAATTTAATTCCAATTAAAATCAGAATTTTTCTGAATAATATTTAGAAGTAAGTTTATTTATTTAGTTCTGATTCCATATTTAAATAAATTCTGATTTCAAGTTTATCTATTAAATCCAAGCTTCAAGTTTATTTAATCAAATTTAATTAATTTTTTACCCATTCTCCTTAGCAAAATGTTTAATTGTTTCAGGAGGAACATCAGGGAAAACCTCATATAAAGTAGTTAACGCAGATAATTTAATTAAAGCATTATTATTAGTTGGTATAATTTTTTTCTTTTAAGTTTTAGTTGGAATAACTGTGAAAATAAGAGAAAATAAATTTAATTTTATAGAAAAATTAATTTTTAAAAAAATTAAAAAATAAAACAGCGTAGAAATTTAAAAAAAATTTTTCATTTCAATTTTTATTTTTAAATTACGTTATATGTAGTATATTTATTGAATTCTGGTATCAAGTTTATTTTTTTAAATTAATTCTGGTTCGTTTTAAATTAATTATTCTGATTTTATTATTTAATTAAATTCTGTTTAATTTATTTTTATTTCAGAATTTCTATTTAAACTTGAAATCAGAATTTTTAATTAAAATTATTTTAAACAAAAATTCTGGTTTTGAATAAATTCTGATTATATTCAAGTTTTAATTAAAGCTTATTTTTGTAAATTCTGATTAAATATTAATTCTGATTTAAAGTTTATTTTTTAAGTTTAATTAAAATTCTGATTTTTAATTTTTTAAATTCTGATTTTTTACCTTCTTCTTCTTCCCCCTCAATTATTTTCTCATTAGGAATAGAAACCCCAAAATGTATTGCCTTATAAAACATTTCACATAACCACAAAGGTATTTCAATTTCATTATTTAATAATTCATTTTCTTTTTCTTCCTCCTCATTTTCTTCTTCTTCATCAAATAATTGTCCAATTTTTTTAATAAATTTTTTTGTTAATTTTAATTTAATTATTTTCTTTGTTTTGTTTTTTTCTTCATTATTTTGGGAAGATTCAAATACTTTATTTATAGGATTTTCGTTAATATTTGTTAAATCGTCGTTGGTTTTGGAGGGAGAAAGAAGTTGAGAATTCTGATGTAAACGGTGCTGAAAAATTAAAAGTTAATTAATAATTAAAATTCTGATTCCAAGTTTATTCAAATTGTTGCAAGTTTTTCAGAATTTAATTATGAATTAAATCAGAATTTTAATTAAACTTGAAATCAGCATTAATTTAAATAAACTTGAAATTAAATTCTCATTTTGTAGAATTTAAAGAAATTAAAACTGAAATTATATTATCAGAAATTTTATCAAAATTTCTCACTTTAGGTTTATTTAAATAAAAATTCTGAAAACTAATATCTAGAAAGAAGTTTATTTATTCATTAACAAATTCAATCCTCATTTATTTAATTACATTTAATTAAAAACTAATATTTACATTGTTTCAACCGCTTCAAACGCAAATAAAATCGCAGTATTGACTTGCTCCGCTCCATATATGTTCAGCACATGCCTCGATTGTGTGAATTAATGATGCTGTACTAGCGGTTTCCAATGAAATTTTAGAATTCTGCTGCTTCAGACGCAAACAAAATCACTGTAGAGACTTGTTCCGCCTCATAAAGTGTAATATTTCCAGTTTCCGCACGTGTATCGGTTGTAAGAATTAAGCTGGATGCTTGACGTGCAGTCTCCAAAGCGATCTCCGACATGATTGAAAGGTCGGAACGCCCTACCAAAGTATAGAATTTAGTAAAATTACAAATGTCCTTAGTCTGATAGCAATTTAATTTTTAGAAAAAAACTATCACACTTCTATCACCCCTCATAATTAAATTTGATAACAGAATTAGTAGTGGAAGTCCCATTCCCTCTGAAATCGTTTTAGAATACTGCTTACAGTTATTTTAAAGAATTATATCCACTTTAAAAAAATAAATACCCCCGAGCGGGTTCGAACCCACGACCCCTTCAATTTAAAAATAATTGTCATTTTAATCAGAAAAAATTTTAAAATTATTTTAAAATAAAAAATACCATATAATCTTCACATAAAAAATCCAATTTAGCCAAAAGTGCACACAGAAAAGAATAAAGTAAACGCAAACGATCAGGCACATTGGAGTAATGTCCAGTATTTAACCAGGAATCACAAAGGCGTTCTAATCGATAAATATTGACACGAAGTGAATTTAGAGATTCTTTTGAAGGTTTTTCTAAAAAGAAAGTGAGTAAGAGGGTTAAATTTAAAAAAATAATTGAGGAGAAAAAAAATTAAAAAATAACCGGAGGGGTGGAGGTTCGAACCCGCTCGGAGAAAATATTTTTAAAAAGGACTTTTTTCGTAATAAACGGGTAAGAATAAATTAAATCTACAGATTTTTAAGTTATAAATTCAAAAGAGATTAAATAGAAAGCCAAAAACTTTAGAGTTAACTAATAAAGGGGGTAGAGGTTCGAACCCGTTCGAGGCCCTTATATATAAATTTACCCAGAATTTCACTAAAAATAACTCAATAATTTTTAAAAATAGTTTAAAAAATTAAGAAAAACCTTCACTCTTTCCATTTGCCAATTTATCCAATTCCTTAGCCATTTCAACAGCTACATTCATTATAGGAAAGCCATTAAAGTGTTTTAACAAAATTGGATGAAATTCAGCCAAAATACTTAAATTGCCTAAGAGCATTGGAATTTTGTGGAAGATCAGACATATTCAATTTCTAAAATTATTTTATTTTCTGTCAATATTTTTAAATCTTAGAAAAAAAAATCGAAAAAAGAAATTTAAGAATATTCCCCAAACATTGTCGTTTTGCCCAAAAATAAATATGCCAAAAATTTTTTAATTTAACTAAAAGGAAAAATACTTATAGGATGCCTATTTTTCGGAAAAAATCAAAAGAATATCTAATTAAAAATTAAACAGCCCCCGACGGGTTCGAACCCACGACCCCCAAAAATATAAAACAGGAACTTAATTTCCAAAATCAAACTGAAAATCGACTCAAATCAAGTCCGAATTTTGTTTTAGAATTATTTTCAATAAACCGAAAAACTGAAGAAATATGAAAAAGAAAAAAACCTTTCACTGTCAGAAAAAGAAAAATTCACAGCAAAAAATCCCCATCCTCTCATTTTTCCTCTTCTTTTCTAATGATAAGCACACCGGTTTTTCCTTCAATCAATTCTTTTGGAAGATAGGAATTTAAAAAACCATTGCAAAAAGCCCATTTTGAGGCCCACCGTTTGAATATGGAGGGCAACCACCTCCGCCACCAGCACCGTCCAAAGTTGTTATTTACCCGTTACGTTGTTGTTGTTGAAATTTTTTGCAGGTTAAATATTCCTAAAGAGAAAGATGTAAAAAACTTGATTAACCAAAAATAAATTTTAAACTCATTAAAAAATAATCGGCCCCGAGCAGGTTCGAACCCACGACCCCCCCCCCTCTTCCACCAAAAAATCTAATTCTTCATTCCCAAATCAATTCTTTAAAAAACCTCGATGATATAGACATTTTCTCGGATTGAAAACGTTCAATCAAAACCTCTTGTCTGTCCAATTCAATTATTTCACCTTTAAATCCTCCTTTACAAATCAACCATAAAGTAGTTACATCTTGTAAAATTAAATTTGAAAACGATAATGTAAAGAAAAAACCTTGATATAAGCTTCTTCCGGCAAATAAACCACACTCATTTAACGGTGATGTCGTCGATATTCAATAAATATTCCATGGATTCCAATAATTTAATTCCCATATTCCATAACATTCCATATCAGGATAATTACGAAAAAACCTTAAATTAAAAAAGTTAGGTTGAGTCAAATTAAAATTGAGACAGTTTAACCCTACTCGTAAGATTTGCCTAAAAAGAAAAAAAGTACCGAGGGGTCAATGGTTCGACCCCACTTGAGGACCGTTAATTTTTAAATCGATACTTAAACAAAAAAATAAGGCTACCTTATACAACCTTATATGGAAGGAATTTTAAAAAATTCTAAAAACACCAAGAGTTCAAAATATATGTGTTGTGCAGAGGGCTCGTGGTAGTTAATTCTTTAATCGAATATTACAAAAAATAAAGCATTCTTGCACAAAAACAACTCTCCTACACGAAAACAACTCTTGATAATTTCCAAAAAACACCAAGTGTTCGGAATGTTCATGGATTCAAAGGGGGCATGGGTACGAACCCGATCATGGAATATACCGAATATTTCAACAAAAACAAATAAAACCTTAAAAACAAAAAGATAAACCAATAAAGACACATCACAAATCAAATGGGGCATCTCGTGGATCAAACGAAGAATCGCGGAAGTCACTAAAATTTATATAAATTAATTCTCCAAGTCACCGCATACTCGCTGAGTCCTTCATGAAGTGGCAGATTTTGCGAGAAAGTTCCAATACATCAACGAAGTTGGCCTTTATTCCAAGTTACATACAAATGTTTTCATTTGGAACATTAGTTGGGCATTTTGGCCATTTACTTTTGATTAGATGTGCAATTAACTGTAAAAGAATGTAATCTCATTAAGAAAAAAATTAGGGGCCTCAAACGGGTTCGAACCCGCGACCCCCTAAAATAAATATTTGGGATAAAGTGTCACTGTTAATTTGTACGTAGAAGTTACTAAGAAAGTACGACTACGCTTTACGGAAAATGGTGGAGAACGCTTTAGGAATGCAAGTGTCAAAGGTTTGAAAATTGGCAAAGTATCAGTATCCCGAAATTTTGTGGGTATTTAAAAATGTGAAATCCAAATAAAAGAGAATAAAATTGGTTTAGGTTGATATTAAAATAAACAATTTAGACAGTTATTCAAATTTGAATAACAAAAGGAAGCAAAATATGTAGAACAAAAAACAGAAATTTTGGGGGTCGCGGGTTCGATGCCGCTCGATGCCCGATAATTTTTAAATTGGCCAAAAACGCATAATTTTCGTATAAAATGCCCACAAACTCCACTAAACCATAAAAATTCCAAACCTCATTAAAACAATGCACCGGCATATTAATTGTAGCAATTTAACCACCATTATTGGGCACAATAACTCCATTCGTTATCTGCTGGAAAACTGAATTCTTGGAAGCGGCAGATTTTGTCTTGATGAGCAAGGAGTCATTCTGCCTTGTCATTTCAATTTAAAGAAACAAAAGACTCTAAATACAGTTGGCTAAAATAATAGAGGCAAAATTGGCCCACCCTGAAATTATTTTTTAAGAAAATTTTTTGGGTGGGCCAAAATGCCCAAAAATAATTACTTTTAAAAATTAAAAAATATCCAAAGGATTCTAATGATCCTATAAAGAAAATAAAAACCATTTTTCAAAACAATTTTTCTCTTTAACAAAAATGTATCATAATGTTTTTTATTTTTTTAAATTTTTCAACCATTTCACTCTTCAGCTTCTCGTTGTATCTGTTCTGCCTCAAGACGATCGGCTAATTCTGCCGCTTCAGAAGCAAACAAAATGGCCGTATTGACTTGTTCAGCCTCATAAAGTGTAATGTTGCCAGTTTCAGCAGCTGCATCGGTTGCGAGAATCAAGCTGGATGCTTGTCGTGCAGTCTCCAAAGCAATTTCCGACATGATAGAAAGGTCGGAACGACCTACCAAATTATAGAATAATTTAGTAAAAGGACGATGGGATGGGTGTATACAAAAATCCAGTGTTAATAAAAGAGACCGCTAGAATCTATTTACTTAACTTAAGGTCCTTATAAGAAATGATCACTTAGTTCTATAATTCTCCTATCAAAGAAACTCATTCCAGAAAATTAAGAGTTTAACCAATGGATAGGCTATAAGGCCTGAAAGAGGATGGAGTAAGAGCTCTCGAAATACCAAAAATGGGAGATGTTGTTCCGAAAATGGGGATAGTTTTTTCTCAAAAAATCTTAACAGCTGCGGAGGAAGCCGGGAATGTCGGGTACGACCGCGGCGAAGCAAGGTCATCGTTAGCGAAGACCATGCCCGGCCTACCCATTGGAGCGGTATTTCGAGTTTTTGGTATAATAAATCTAAGATTATAACTAATAGATAAACCCGCGACCCCAAGTTTCCCAAGAAACAATTTAAAAAAACTTTAAATAAATTAAAAAACCTCCAGTCTCAGTTCCACCATTTAAGGTTGAAGAGCTGCCGGTATTGACATTTTCTTCACTGTTTTGTTCCAATTCCCCATTTTGTTCTCGATTGTTCTCCATTTTAATTAAATTTAATTTAATATTTTAGCTAAAAATAATAGAAATTTTAGGCGAAACTGAACTTGGCGGTGGTTAGATTTGAAAGTAACGGAATTCAGAGGGTAAGGGACGACTCAGAGTCGCCGATTCAGAGTACGGGGAAAAGGGACAATTCAGTGTACGTAGAATAAAATACCCTAAAAATCTAGATTTTTAGAAAACAATTGATGTATTTTATAAAAATCTTTCTTGTTTCCTTTTATTGTTTTAGAGAGAACAGCAATTTGCCCAAAAAAACAGCAATTATTCAATGGTCTACTCTATGTTGTGAGGTTCTGCCCGCAACATTTCAGTCTGGCTCTACATTGGGCTCCCATACAAAATCTCTATTCCTTAAAATCTCTACTAATCTAAAAATGCTTAAAATCTCTATTCCTTAAAATAACTATTCCTTAAAATCTCTACTGGGGTAAAAATAATTAAAATCTCTACACCGTGCAAATGGATGGTAGAGTCTCAACAAAAGTGTAAAATATGAACTTTTCATTGGAAAACCCAGACTTGGTAATGGATACGGATATGGATACAATTGATTTAAAAATGGCTGCGGATATCTGCTTGTATCCGCCGTAAATATCGAAGATATAATACACGACTGCTTCGCTGCGGTCGTGTTCATTTTGCTTGCGGTGATTGTATGCTGTCGTTCCGCTGGACATGCCTGGGTTCATCCGCAGCGGCAAAAACAATACAAGCAAAATAATATCAAAAGATAAGCCAGAAATCAGAACAACGTTTCCGCACTGAACGTTGGCACTCAAAAGTCTTCCGAATGAAAAATAGACATTTTATCCTATTTTTGGCCGTGTAGAGATTTTAAGGCGTTTTACCCGTGTAGAGATTATGAGGAATAGAGATTTTAAGGAATATTTATTTTAATAATTTTTAGCCGAGTAGAGATTTTAATGCATTTTAGCTGTGTAGAGATTATAAGGCATTTTAGCCCAGTAGAGATTTTAAGGAATAGAGATTTTGAGGGGATACGCTACATTGATCTCTACATTGTCTATTTTTAAAACATTTCGCCAAAGTACACTCGAGACTCATAATTTTTACCTGCCAAAAGAGTAACAATTTGTACTAATTAATAGAAAGGAGGAAGGGGAGGGATAAAATTAGTTAAATTTGTGGCTCTAAAGAGGGCCGTTTGTGATAAAGGTTTTGTCGGCAAAATTTCATCATCCATTTTATCCTTCCAAAACTGCAAGGTTTCCAGACTGAAATGTTGCGGGCAGAACCTCACAACATAGAGTAGACCATTGAATAATTGCTGTTTTTTTGGGCAAATTGCTGTTCTCTCTAAAACAATAAAAGGAAACAAGAAAGATTTTTATAAAATACATCAATTGTTTTCTAAAAATCTAGATTTTTAGGGTATTTTATTCTACGTACACTGAATTGTCCCTTTTCCCCGTACTCTGAATCGGC